CAGCTTTTTTAATGACATAAGCAGGGGAGTTGAGAGGTGTTAATGTTCTCCACTACCCAGTGTGAAACCTGGGTTTCACCAGCTTCCCTCTCCTTCAGCCAGCAACTTAATTCTGTGGGAGTTAAGAAGTGCCTTTGACTGCTGAGCAGTCATCCCTCCACCTGAAGGATTCGGACACACAGATGGTAGCTGCAAAATGGGTGTAAAGTAGAAGGGGGGAGGAAGCAGAAGCTTCTAAAGCTCTAAGGAGAGCAAGAGGATTCTCAGAAAGCCAGAGTAAGCAGTAGGGCAACATGCACAGCTTGATGTCCTTGACTATAGCATACAGCCTAAGCTCATTACAGCTTAAGTTGGGAATCACAAATGAGCAGTTATTTCGGAGCTCTTAAGAACAGCTATCAGTTGGCTGAAGTAGTTGGGACACCCCGAAGTGAAGGAGAGAACTTGTAGGGTGATTCTGAAGTAACCCCAAGACACTGCATCTACACCACTATTTGCCAACAGAGTTACCTCTATACAAACTCTACCATGGGGCCTTTATCAATGAGTTTAGGTATCAATGTGTACCACAGGGGGTTAATGGCAAGCCTTTGAGACAATTAGGACTCAGACTGCTACCGCAGATGACTGATACTGCGATCAGATTTGGGGAGCGGAGGGGGGGGGGGGGGAACGACGACTTTTGCATACAGAAGAGTTCCAATCACTTCAATGGGGCTCCAAACTGACCCAAGAGTCTCTACCCACACAGATCCATTTGCAGGATGAGGGCTTAAGACTAGAGAGTTGGAGGTTTCCTTCTTTGTTCATCTGTTTCCTAAGAGATATCCATCAATACTGTATGCACAACAGACCAGATTACATCATCCTCGGCAGTAGGGTTGTATTTTATTTTTCAGTGCCCTGAGTACCTACATCCAACCTTCTCATCAATGGAGAGGGCACTCCATGATGCCTTTTCCTTTTCTTTCAGTGCTTTCTGCTCAGCAGAGAGATTCCTTACGTATTCCAGTTGAGGCAGGGGAATGTCACGACGATCAATGTAATTTGGAAGACTGAAGTCTTCCACTTTCGCAACACCTGCTTAAGAGATAAGAGAGAGTCAAATGCACATATGTGCAGAAGCCAAAAGTACCAGGAGAGCATACCTGAACTTCTAAGGTTAAAAAAAATGCCAAGTAAGAAGTTTTAAAGTTTTAAAGAGAAATGCTTCGGTCTGATTTTTTTAAACTACTATTGTTACAAGAAACACCTAAGATTACTATAATTTAAAGATTAAAAGAGTAATTCTTTATTCAATTTGTGTACTGTGTGTGTGTATCACAGCATCAAAGGAGAGATTTATTTATTTTTTAAATACCCATTAGTAAACATTTTCAGACTACAAAAATTGGCAAAGGGTCTCAGAGGAACTTGTAATACCTGAAACTAACGTCAACTATTTTTTCCCTCCCAAAATTTACTCTATTTAAAGTTGACAATCTTCCTTTAAATATTTAGAAAGCCCTCAAGTTATATTTTCCTACACAATTTCATGCAATTACCCTGTCTAGGTTCTATTAATCCAATATCCTTCTAGGGCTATTATAGTTCTGTGATGCCATCTACTGGTGATGGCACAGATCATCAACTAAACTTTCTTGCTACTGGACAAGTAAAGCCTGGTCTACATTAGCAAATTAGGTCACTTTAGATGTGTCAGGGGTGTGAAAAATCCACATCCCTGAGTGGCGTTGCTAAGATAATAAATATAAAATAATAATATGTGGAGATATATCTGTTTCATAGAACTGGAAGGGACCCTGAAAGGTCATCGAGTCCAGCCCCCTGCCTTCACTAGCAGGACCAAGTACTGATTTTGCCCCAGATCCCTAAGTGGCCCCCTCAAGGATTGAACTCACAACCCTGGGTTTAGCAGGCCAATGCTGAGCAATCCATCCCCCAGGCCAATTTAAATCCCTGTGTAGACTGCGCTAGGTCGACAGAAGAATTCAAGTGCAGCTGTGCTGATGTAGTTTTTTAGGGATTGTCTACACTGGCACTTTACAGTGCTGAAACTTGCTGCGCTCAGGGGTGTGAAAAAACACCCCCCCCCCCCGAGTGCGGCAAGTTTCACCGCTGTAAAGTGCCAGCGTAGACAGTGCACCAGCCCTGGGAGCCTAGCTACGCCCCTCGTAGCCTCTCCCAGCGCTCTGCCGCAACTACACAAGCCACGTTAAAGCACTGCTGCGACAGCACTTTAACGCTGCCAGTGTACACAATTCCTTAGTGTAGATAAACTCTAAATCAGTGTGTCTCACCACTCCTTGATTTGGTTTTTGCTGCCTTGTTTTCACAGTTACTGCTTGATATTTGCATAATATCCCATCATCTCCAAACACACTTAAGTTTGAAATGCCCAGCCTGTGCTGGGTCAGTAAATAATATCCTTAAAGTACCAAATTACAAAAAAGATTCCCAAATAACGGTGTGCTGCCAACAAACCACATTTGGCTCTCATAGAAATTGCTGTTATAGCAGAGCTAGGTCTGTGTTCAGAACAATTACAGATCTCAGTGTACTTTTATCTCAAGTTTTCAGAGAAATTTAATATTGCTCAGCGTATAAGAACATGGATAGAGGATAAATTGCATTTTTAATGGCCATAGTTACAAAAATTCTTTAAATGCAATTTTGTGATCCTCTTGTGAAGTGTTTCCAAACACTTTATTTAAAAAAACAGCTTCTTCTGTTAAGAGGACTTTCCAGTCTTTGCTATTTGTCCCAGTGATTAGCATGGGCTTTATAAACACTTGTTTTTACAAAATTTAAAGCTGCTCATAATGGGTGATTTAAGAAGAGGCACATGAAAGGTTAAGTTACTTCTGCAGTCATATTTAAAATTAAACAAGTTACCTACCATGTCCTCTCAAGCAGATGGAGGTGGAAATGGCACGCTTGCCAATTAGGCTAAATGCCCTAGAAGCCAACATTCTAAGGGGAGAAAAGATAGAAAATTGCCAGTTAAAAGATGTCAGATTCATAGATACAATTGGAAGAATGCTGTCCTCCATCTACTAGAATATAACAAAGCAATTGAAGACGGATGTGTTTTTTTCCAGGCTTCTTCTCCTAAGGAATCACATAATCGCCAAAACCCCCTCAACTCTTTCATGACCTTTCAACAAACCAGGGCTCATGGGCAGACAGGGTGATAAGAAGGAAAGAGATTTCAGATGCAATCTTGGAAGGGGAAGTTACAAATAATTAAGAATATTATTTCAATAGTTGCAAAATATACCCTAGCCCTTTGTGCATGGAGTCATTACAAGACCTACTAGCAACAAAAAAACTAGATTTTGATTGACAATGGAACAAGCATCAAAAAAGGCATAATGCCAATGGTCACCGTGAAGATGAGTATTTAATATATTTTGCCTGTGTTACTAAAATCACTTAAAAATAATTTAAAAAATTCTTTCAGCTTTAGTAACTTTATTTTTCTCTCTACTTTTCATTCCTCGGCTTAACTAATGAAACTAGATCAGTTAGTTTCAACCTTGTTTACAGAGGTTTTTGCACTACCACTTTGCACTACCAAGATGCTGCTGTTTTGGGGGTTTCAATTCTGTAGGCAAATAACATTTTGAGGAGAATGTGAGGAAGACCTCTTGACAAATCAATAAGATACATTTAGAAAAAGCCTAGACACCTTATTCAGTGCTTCCCAATGAATCCTAAATACTGTATAGTTAAAGGCATTGGTTCAGGCCAGATTTCTCAACCTCTTCATGAGGTGAGTCCTTATTAAAAGTTTTCATGACCCCCTTACATTTACTATAAAAGAGTAAACAAAATATTATAATATGCCTATATAATTTGTGTGTGTTACAAGAGGCTGACAGAATATGTGACCTTGAAAGGTAAGGGTGTATGGGGAAGTGGAAGGGCTAGCTTGTCTTTGAATTATTGTTATAAAATTTTCAATGCTGTCCAACACCACTCCCCCTCCCTTTGCCTCTTGTGACTTCCTGGGGGGTCCACAATCCACTGATTGAGAAACACTGATCTAGGACTAAATTAAACATGGATTCTATGTCTGACTATGACTCAGACTACGACTTTAGTAAGTTACAATCTCTGGGATGCTTCTGTTGGGTAGGGTACAAACACAAACAAAAATTCATTCATGTTTCCAAAATGCTGGGATACTACAGTAACGGGAGCACGGAGAAGGCAATAAATTAGGACATCTCCTGTCTAGCAGGAAGCTCTCTGGAGCAGGGACTGTGTGTATTTTGTGTCCTGTCCAGCACAGATCAGCATTCAATTATTAAATCCTCTCTTCCTGGTAGGGACCTCACCCCCACCTGATTAGGACTGAGTTCCCAGCTCGATCTCCCGGGCCCGGCCTCCCACAGAGCTGGCTCTCCAGCGCCACTCGGCCTCTGCCTCGCCCCCTCTGCCCGGCCCAGCGGCGAGCCGATCCCGCCAGCGCACGGGGAGCCCGACTGTTACCTACCCGCAGGGGTGGGTGGGGCGCCCTCGAGGGAAGCTGGAAGCGGAGGCCGCAGGGCCTGTGAAGCGGGACAAGACAAGGGGGGCGGAGGGTCATGGGGCACTTGGGGTGAAAAGGGGGCCCCCACCCCCTACATGGCCCTATAACAACCCCAGGCCCCAGCGTGTCCCCTCGGCCAGACAGCGCTCCCTCACCCCCCCCCCCCCCAGCTGCCCTTCCCACCCGGGATACCCCTCCCCCACCGAGCTCCCCTCCCCCACACCGGGATAGCACCGGGCGGACCCTCCCCCCTGTCCACGGAGGCGGAGTCTGACCCGGCCCAAGGCCTTTCTCACCCGCCGCTGCCAACGACCTGGCGACCGTCCTCTACGCGGCTGCCGCGCCGGAGACGAGAGAGAAGCGAGGCGGAAACGCTCTGGCGCACAGCCCGCCGGGATAGCGGAGGAGCGCGCTGCGGCTGGAGGGAAATAGAGAGCGCCGCGCCGCGGTGCAGAGTGGGACGTCGGCGGACTTCCGCCCCTTCGCTTTCTCCGGGGGCGCTTTGCGACCGCGCCGGGCGGCTGGGGAGCGCTTTGCGGCAGCCGGCGGGGAGAGCGAGGGCGTCGCGTGCGGAGGACTGAGGCGGGAGCCGGCATCTTAGGGGCCGCCCGGAGGAGCCTCACGCGGCCCGGCGGGGAAGCCCCAGCGTCCCCCCCCCTCCCGCCGCCTATGGTGCCCCCCACCGCGCCGTGAGGTGAGGCGAGGCGGGCGGAGCTGGGGGCCGGCCCCCGCGGCGGAGCAGGGCGCCCCAGGATGAAGCTGACCACTCAGGCCTACTGCAAGATGGTGCTGCACGGAGCCAAGTACCCGCACTGCGCCGTCAACGGGCTGCTGGTGGCCGAAAAGCAGCCGCCCCCGCCCCGCAAGGACCAGCAGCCCCACGGGCACCCGCAGCCCCACACCCTGTTCGTGGACTGCATCCCCCTCTTCCACGGCACCCTGGCCCTGGCCCCCATGCTGGAGGTGGCGCTGACGCTGGTAAGGAGCGAGAGTAGCACTGGGCCCATCGTCAGCGCCCTCACGGCTCCCCTAGAGCGCGAGACAGGTGGGGAAACTCAGGCAGTAGCTTCAGTGATTTCCCCCCCGAGATCGCGTGTCAGATCAGTGGAAGGGCTAGGGATAGAGCCCGGATGTGGAAAGACTCCCTCAGGCAAAGCTGAAAGGGGGAAGACTCGCATGTGCGCCCGCACAGGTCTACAAAGACACACACCACTTTATGGCTGAGACCCACGGAATGGTCCCAAAACAAAAAGGGTCCTGAGAGGCCTGTAATGGCCAAGTGAGATCTACTCTACCTCGCAGAAGGGCTTGTCGACTGAGCCGTGGAAAAGCAGGAGTTCATGCAGACAGATGCTCGCCACTGTCCGCACTAGAGTTTTTCACTGCTGAAAACTGCCCCAGCTGAAAAGTACAGCTCCTATTTTGCTAGTGTAGACTTAGTGCTTGTCTGTAAGAGGAAGTTGACAGTTATAGCAGTATAATTATACCAGCATAATTCCCCAAATGGACACACTTATTCCAGTTTACCCCTTCCAAAGTGATATAAACTAAACTGAAAAAGGCACTCATATACTGGAATAAGAATGCCCACACAGCAGGTTATACAAATATAACTAGATTGGTTTAAATTCACAACTTTGCTTTTACAGGTATAACTTTCCCATGTAGACAAGGTCTGCCTCCTAGACTAGAAAAAAACCTAGGCTTTTAAAAATGTTAGCTAACATGACTTGAAACACCAGTTAGCATCTAATGTAACACCTTTTAAATCGTGTTACTAGTCATGTTGTAAACAGGTGTTAAACTTTGTTTACATGCTACAAATGGTATTTTAAGTCAAGGTAGGTAATTCTTAGGTTGACAAGGTGGGTGAGGTAATATCTTTTATTGGACCAAGTTCTGTTTGTGAGAGACAAGTTTTCAGGTTTACACAGCGCGCTCTTCTTCAGGTCTGGGAACTGTACTCAGAGGGTATGTCTACACAGCAAAGAAAAACCTGCTGTGCTCCAGCCCGAGCCTGGAAGTCTACACAGCAATGAAACAACCCCACAGCCTGAGTCAGCTGGCATGGGCTAGCTGCAGGTTTTTCTTTATTGTATAAATATACCCAAAGTGTCACAACTAAATACAAGGTGAAATAAATAAATACTATGTAAGTAGTTAACACATATTGCAAGGGACCATTCAAGGTGAAGTGGCCAGTGATATGGGGAGGCGGTTAGTGGGTTATAGATTGTTTTAATAAACCATAAATCCAATGTCCCTATTCAGTCCATGGTTCTTAGTGTATAGAAAAGTTATGAATTTAAGTCCCCAGGCTCGTCTTTTGAAGATGTTGTGTAGATTTCCTTTGAGGATGAGGAATGAGAGGTCAGATATAGAGTGATAGTTTTTATCATTTTTCTGTGTGTGTTCATTTGAGAATGTAGTGATTGTCTCATTTCACCCACATAGTTATTATTGGAGCATTTAGTGCACTGAATGAGGTACACCACATGTTGTGATAGGCATGTGTGGGACCCATGGATCTTGAAAGATGTATTGTGGGTGGGTGTTGATCATTGTACCAGTGGAGATATGTCTGCAGGTTTTGCATCTGTTGTTCTGGCAGGGTCTGGTGCCGCTTTGAGTTGGTGTGTCCTGGTCTGTGGGGAGAGAGCTCATAGGAATTGCCAGACTGGATGAGACCCAAGGTCCATCTAGTCCAGTGTCCTGTCTGACAGTGGCCAGTGCCAGATGCTACAGAGGAAGGAATGAGAACCTCACAGTAGGCATATTTGGGATAATCTGCTCCCCATATTATGTGTTATCCTGGTCTCTAACAGAAATTGGCTTCAACCATGAAGCACAAGTTTTAATATCCCTTCCAAAATCTATTCTTGTGAATTATAACTTTGGCTATTCTTGATATCCATATAAATATCCAATCCCTTTTTGAGGCCTTTTAAATTCTTGACTTCAATGACTTCCAGTTTAATCATGTTTACGTTAAAAAAGCATTTCTTTCTAAAAATGCACCAGTTTTTCCTAGTCAAGACAGGGTCACAGAAACTAAAGAAATACATGTTTACATAAAGCCTGATGTGGTTAGAGCACAGGACTTGGACAGGAGATGAGGGTCCTCTTCCTACATCTGCCATGGATTTGCTGTGACACCCTGGGTAACTCAGAACTTTTCTACAGTAAGGAAACTTCTACTGGTACAACTGGTGTAGTTATGCCAAAGCAAAGCCCTAATGTATATATGATGCACCGGTGCAAAGTAGGGATTATACCACAGCAGTGTACTGTGATTTAATCCAATAACATGCCAATGTAGTCACATTTGTGTGAATTTCTTTCTGTAGACAGGGCCTAGTTTAACCCTTCTGTGACCTTCAGATGGGTGAACTTTAAATTCATTCGTGTTTTTAAAGGGTCCTAGGCTCCTTGGATGAAAGGTGTTATTGAAGTACAGTATAAAATGTTATACTGTATTTTTTAAGATGTGTGGTGGTTATAATGTCTTTAAATCAAGATTGGATGTCTTTTTAAAAGATAGGATTTAGCTCAACCACAAATTCTGGGCTTGATACAGGAATTACTGGATGAAATTCTCTGGCCTGTGTTATGTAGGAGATCAGACTAGACCATAACAGTCCCTTTTAGCCTTCAGATCTATGAATAATGTGGTTGCAAGCAGACTGAGCCCTGGTCTACACTGGGGGGAGAGGGTGGGGGGTGGTCGATATAAGTTATGCAACTTCAGCTACGTACTTAGATGGACTTACTTAGATGGACTTACCGTGGTGTCTTCACCATGGTGAGTCGACTGGTGCCGCTCCCCCGTCGACTCTGCCTGCACCTCTTGCGACGCTGGAGTACAGGAGTGGACAGGAGAGCGCTCGGGGGTCGATCGCTGCCCACCGGGTAGTGTAGGCATACCCTGACACCCACCATGACTAGCTTTAAGGAACTTTTGCTCAGGCATCATTAGTTTAAAACAAACTGAAATTGTGACTTCCCAGATTGCCTGGTACTTTGATGTGAGTGTCCCACATTATATTGTTTGTATTGCACTGGAATATACTGAGCTAATATTTTAGGACTGATGTATGCTTGTGGCTTTCATTCTATTAAATGTGTACCTCTTGAAGTTATACTAGTCATCAAAAAATATAAATGAAGTATCAGTGTTGATAAGCAAAAGATGTGACAATGCTTAAAAAACAAAATAAGGCTCAGCTTTCAAACATGGGTGCCCAGACACGGATTTTAAAATACCTAAATACACAGATTTTGGCCCAGTCCTGCAAGCTGATACATAAGGGCAGATCCTTGTCCCTGTGTAGAAGCCAACTGACTTCAGTGTGGTTCCATGTGGGTATAAGGGTGCTCTCACTCAGAGCTCCATGATTGGGGCCTTAGATGCTTAGCTACAAGCAGCCAAATTTGAAAACTAAGCCTGTAGTAAGAGAGAATGATGTCTCTTAGTTTTTAAAATGACTGGACACAGTCGTAGAATGTCTAGTTACTGGAGGCTGAAACAGCAAAATTTAGACAAAATGAAGGGCCGAAGCCTTTTGAGAAACACCAGCTCTGTCTAAATGAGCTGAACTAGGCGACAGTTTGTATATTTGTTCATTTCCAGTGATTAATTGGTTTAAAATATAGGTAAGTACTCAATTCATACAGATTGCTATATAAGTAAGTCAGGCTATGTCTATACGTACAGCTCTGCAGCGGCGCAGCTGTACCGATACAGGTGCTCCGCTGCAGCACATCTGGTGAAGATTCTCTATGCTCTGGTGAAGCGCTCTCCCATCGGTTGCAAGCAACAGAAGTTATGTTGGCGGGAGAAGCTCTGCCCCCAGCTCTGCTCCTGGCCCAGCTCCGCTCCTGGCCCTAGTCACATCTCTGATTCTGGTCCCGGCACCCAGGGGAGTCTGGACAGATTACATTACGAGTAAGGGGGGCGGGGTGCAACATAAAAAGTTTGGGGACCACTCCCTTAGAGCAGGGGTCGGCAACGTTTGGCACGCGGCTCGCCAGGGTAAGCACCCTGGCGGGCCGGGCCAGTTTGTTTACCTGCTGACGCGGCAGGTTCGGCCGATCGCGGCCCCCACTGGCTGCGGTTCACCGTCCCGGGCCAATGGGGGCGGCGGGAAGCCGCGGCTAGCACATTCCTCACCCGCTTCTCGCTGCCCCCATTGGCCCGGGACGGCGAACTGCGGCGAGTGGGGGCCGCGATCGGCTGAACCTGCCGCATCAGCAGGTAAACAAACTGGCCCGGCCCGCTAGGGTGCTTACCCTGGCGAGCCACGTGCCAAACGTTGCAGACCCCTGCCTTAGAGTGTGTAAGTCTCCTAAGTGCAGTGGAGTGTTTCAGTGTTTGGCCTGTATCAGAAGCATTGTTTTTCTGGAGTTAAGATTCTAAACTGTTAGGAAGGGGGCCTTGTTTTCTTAGATCCTGATCCTACAATGTGTGGCATGCAGAGGGACTGCTGCAGCCCCATAGAACACAGCTGACTTCAGTCGGGGCCCTATGTGGGCAAGTAGCTTCCAAGCTTTTTTTAAAAACAAAACACCTAGGAGTTTATGGATTAAAGCCCCAATCCTGCAAACATGCTGGGAGACTGCTGTGCCAAACCTTTTGTTGTTTATATTTTTTATTTGGAGATCCTGGAAAAATTGGGACACAGTGCAATTACAGTATGATTCAACTATGTAAAAAGGTACCCTGGTCACGGAAGATCTTTTTTTTTTTTTTTTTTTTAATCCAAAATTGGACCCTGATCCTTAATGGGTCCACATGTGAAGCTCGTTATAAGATCTGGGTCTTAATCTGTATATTCTGTTTGTTATACAGCTGAAAAATTGAAATATTAGTACATTATGTAACTTAAACCTTAAAATCCTCAATTTATTGCCTTTTCACTACTTCTTATTTGTACTTGGTTATTGATTTTAAAAGTAAAAGACATGAAATCCCCAACTTTCCCACAATTAATCAATTTTTGCAAGCCCTAATTATAAAGTTCATGAAGATGGGTTGCAAATTACAATACTTGTCAATTTTTAAAAACTTATCAAGAGCCCAAAGTCTCTTTCTCTATTTGTACAAAGGCTAAGTATTTATGTAACAGCTCACAGTAACTGCATTGTAGTGGCTTTTAAAATGGAGGCTGTTTTGCATGTAATGTAGCAATATGAATACAAGGAAAATCCTGAGTTAAGGAACCATCTTAAGTGAACAAGTCAATAAAATTCATGCAGTTAAAGTTGATGTCCTTTTCCAGAAACACCTAGATATCCAAAGGGTCTTGCAGCATTGGTTGAATTTAATGAGGGGATTTTTTTCCCCCCAAGGCCTATTACTATAAACTCTTCCTTGGGTGAATAATCATTACCCTGGAGGTGAATGGATTGCTTATGTGAATGAGGATTTTCTGAGTTATGCATGAGCATCAAATTGAGTTAATATTTCTAAATCTAATTCTTAGTTCAGAGGATACATTTTCAGTGCCAGCCTTGTCCATTTTAAAAAAGTTCTAAAAATGAGTATTAAAGGAATACCAAAAAAAATCCTGTTGATATCAAATGACACTTGAAATGGTGTCATAGCTCAATTTCAAATTACACATGGGGAAAGGAACAAGTACCAAGCCACATGTGTCCTGTAGGCACAACAGCTTTAATGGAAACATTCATAGTGTTTATCAGGCGTTTTCAGCAAAAGGATTGGAAGGAATAAATTTGCACGATTCTTAATTTGCACATTTTGTTTTGAATTTGAAATCAAGTCATTTTTAAAAAGCAGGTTACGAAAAGTTTCAGTTACTGCCTTTGACTCCCCCAGCCGGTTGTTGTAGTTTTACAACCACACTTTTCTTTTTTAAAAAACTCTCTTTCCTGATGTAGTGCAGTTGCTCTCCACTGACTGGTTATACATGAGCAACAGTGACACAGCCTGTATACTCAGGCCTTATCTATACTCGCAAATCTTTCAAAATCCTTCATGGTTGCAGTACTGTGGGTGCAGCTCCACTTCTGGTAGCAATGGTAGAAGCTCTGGGGGAAGATCCTCTTCTAGAGTACGCTGACTTCAGTGGAGCTCTGACAGTTTAAACAAGCTGAAGATCTGCTCCTTGGGTATACTAGCCACTGGCATTTTTACCTTGTAAAGCACTTTGACATCCACAGGTGAAAAGCACTATATAAGAGCTAGGTATTGTTGTTTTTATCACTTGTCTCATGTTGACCTGCTCTGATCAGGATTAGACAACAGGAATAGAAACATCAGTGGCCAGTTGATGGTATTGCAACAATGTGAAATTTAAGGAAAAGTGCTAGTGTAAACCTAGCGAAATTGCTGTTAAATTCAGAAAGTTAACAATCTTTGTTTATAGAACAAGTTTTTTCACTGGGTGAAAGTTTACTTTAAAAAGAAAACTGCCAACTTAAAAGTTACACTTGTTTGAAATTGTTTTCAGTAGCATACACAGTAAAAATGTCAGACAAATGTAATTTTTAAATTGACAGTTTCCTTTTTAAAGTAAACTTGTGTCAGGGTTGCTGGCTTTAGTGCCAAGGTTTCAGCCCACTAGCAATTAAAACTGAAATCATAAACCCTTGAAATGGGGTTTATAATTGCTCCAGTTAAGGGCCAACTGCTGTTTCAATGCCAGAAGATGACATTTTAATAAAACACATAAATCCGTGTCATCCCCTGTGAATGAGGGATTATTCACATGGCTTTCTTCTGCTTAGACAGTTTAATACTGTAATTATTCTACTAAATATGGAATTTTTGATTTACAGGATGCCAAAGTTCAACATCAAATACATTTTGGAATCCATTTTAATCAATCTATTTGGGTTTTTTAAAATGCATAGTAACTGGGGAGGGAAGCACTAGCTGTTTTCTCCACCTCCCAAATTTCTGGATTATCCTGGCCTGATACTCTTAATTGTGAGCAACAGGAATGGTAGATGTGTATTTTCAAAACAACAGAGATAATGGACCAAATTCAGAGCTGATATCCATTGTTTTCCAGTTATTTTTTTCCTGCTTTACACCAGGTTTGAATTTGTCCCTTTCATTCAAAAAACTATATAAATTTCCATAGATTTTTTTTTTTTTTATTTGCATATGTGAAGTCTTATTCATAGAACAAGGGACCATTATGATCATCTAGTCCAGTGACTCTCAACCGTTCCAGACTACTGTGCCCCTTTCAGGAGTCTAATTTGTCTTTCATGCGCCCAAATTCCACTTCACTTAAAAACAACTTGCTTACAAAATCAGACATTAAAATGCAAAAGTGTCACAGCACACTATTACTGAAAAATTGCTTACTTTCTCATTTTTACCATATAATTATAAAATAAATCAATTGGAATATAAATATTGTGATTACATTTCAGTGTATAATATATAGAACAGTATAAACAAGTCATGTATGAAATTTTAATTTGTACTGACTTCACTAGTGCTTTTTATGTAGCCTGTTGTAAGACTAGGCAAATATTTAGATGATCGATGTACACCCTGGAAGACCTCTGCGTACCCCCAGGGATACATGTACCCCTGGTTGAGAATCACTGATCTAGTCTGACCTCCAGTATAACACAGGCCCCCAGTAATTCCTGCATCAAGCCTGTGTTTTGTAGCTGAGCTACAGTATGTTTTTAGAAAGGCATTCTATCTTGATTTAAAGACTAAGTGATGGAAAATCCACCCACCATCCCTTGGTAAATTGTTCTAATGTTTAATTACCCTCACAGGTGAACAATTAAGAAAAAAGAATCTTGTATTAATACAGATCCCCCTAGCAACTGGGGTGATTTGGAAGAATGAGACAATAGAATTTTTTTGTCACATCTTTCAGTTCTTAAATTTAAGGCATCAGTTGCTTTTTAAAGAAAACATTATACAATATAAAAATGTATACATTTTAACACTGTGAACTTCTATTTTCAGCAAAATGGATGCAACTGTCTTGTGAAATGGGGTTATAGTCTCACATCCTGTACATTTCCCTACTTCCCACTGCGAACTAAACACTAACAGAAAATAGCCAGTAACACCTAAAATTTGATTCCAGTGGTTACTCAAGCACTTCAGAACAAATTCTGTTCTTTGAATTTCAGGCCGTACGTCACAATTCAAATATCTTTTTGTTCAACTTAATTTCATTAATGTTTTATATATCTTTTCCCTAATACTTGTGTTTCTTTCTGTGTTGTGGTTAAGAATATTAGCATTTGGTTAACTTCATTAGCAATTGGCTAAAATGTTATAAGGTTTCAATTGCCATTTTATCCTCAGGAAAGATGTATGCTTTTTGGTAGTTTTGTTGTGTGATTTTTCTGGACTCACAGTTGTTTTGATTACTCTTTCAGATTGATTCTTGGTGCAAAGAGAATAGTTACGTGATAGCTGGATATTATCAGGCTAACGAGCGTGTGAAAGATGCCAGGTGTGTCGATGCAATATATCCTCCTGTTTACTCTCTCATGCTGCATTTGTATTATGCCAACAAAAATAATTGCACGTATAATCTGTGAATGTTGTTTAACTTTGACAACTGTCATGTGGTTTCACCTTGTTTCCTTCATACTATTAGATATCTGTGAAATGTCTTTTGTGTGGTCTCAAACCTCCATTTTTCCAGAATTATTCCTATATCGTAGATGTTATAGAATTGTTGGATGTTTCAGTGCTTGCTAATCAGTTTAACTGGCAGATATCAGGGAAATTCACTAGAATTCACAGATCGATTCATGAATCTATAGATCTTTTAGGAACTCATTTTGAAGTGATTTAATCGCTATCAGATTATTTAATTGCCTTTAATTTTTTATGAAACTCTTTGCCAGCTAGTCATGGAATTGTCTTGCAATAGTACACCATGTAAGTAGAGCACAGAAGTCAATTCTTACTCATCACTTCCCCAAGATTACTCTTTAATAACAAGTTGTAAAATTTTCAAAACCAGCAGTTATTTCAGAGTCTGAATTCCATTAAAAGTCATTGGGACTTAATGTACTTTTGAAAATGGAATTTAGGCTTCTAATTCACTCATGCTGTTTTTGTAAATTTTACCCAAGATGCACTCACTGTAAATTAACTATAGAATTGTAACTGCCATGTGTTAATCCTTTTTTAAAAGTAAAGTCCACTGTAAATATTTTACAACTAAGACCAGGGAAATTTGCATCACTATATTTGCATCACTATAACTACACTGATATGTAGTCATAGTGATGGAAGCGCCTAATGTTGTAGACACACTTTGCCAGTGCCAGAGGAGACTTGAATTGTGTGATTTGTAACTTGTACATTAGTGCAATACATCTACACATTGGGGGTTTGTGCTGGTCTAGCTATACTGATGCCAAAATGAAAACACTGTAGACCGCAAATTTTATTTGCAGTCCTGTCAGAAACACTATGCTTTTTGAGATACAGCAGTGACACAATGAATTTGTTGTCCGCTTTGTGTGTCACTGCTGTAGATTAATACCAAGTTACTTAGGCTCTTTAGTTCAGCAAATAGTATTTTGGGGAAAAGCTTCAAAATCACACTCACTCAGATACATCTGCAACTGCATACCTTATCTTAAAACTGAGTAATTCTATATTTTCCCTCTCATTAATTCAGCTCATTAAATAACCAATAAAAGTCATCCTAAGGGACAATATTTTAAGTTTACACATGTATATTGAATATTTTTTCTTCCCATGTTTAAATCATTAAGCTTATCCAGTATTAAGACTAATTAGAGGACATAAATGCTTTCATTTTAAATCAATATTAACATCTTGTTCTCAGTAAAAACATTTTAATTTATTCAAGCCATTTTGTTGGAGCAACATTTCTTCTGGTCTTGAGGGATATCTCCAAATAAAAATTCTCATGTCTCTGAAGCTATCAGAGGAGTTGAGAGGGTTTACCATTTGATCAGCTTTGATTTAGGTGCAAGCAGATTTTCTTTGGAATCTACTAATTCTAACATAACGGGACGGAGTGGGGATTACTTCCACAATACTTTAATACTATATATGCTTCAGTATATGACTTGCTAGAGACGCTATGAATTTTTGGAGATGTTGCTGTTGACTTTCACATTGCCACAAGACTAGCAGGAAATATAAAATAAGGCATTTAAGGAACTCTCAGCAGAGACTCTCTCTGTATATGTACAATGACTAGAACAGTGCCTCTAGACACCCATAATATTAATAGATAAGGGGTTAAATCCTTCTTACGCAAATGTGCCTATGCCTTTTAGAAATTCTAAACTCACAGTGAAGACTGAATCTGCTGAAAAATACAAACTTCATATATCAGTTTGTCTATATACACTCTCTTTCTTTTTATATATATTATAGTCTGTGGAGGATTTTCTGGTGGTCTGCAGAACTGCATTTCTCAGGTGGTGATGCATCTATCACTTATTAAGTTGTGATGCATTCTTCTGATAATAGCACCGTCTGGGACATTTTAAGACTTCCAGAGGTATTTTGGACCAACTAAACTGAAACACACACCTGTCTGCACCCAGCATAGCTTTATTTTGGGTAAATTCAGCTGTGATCAGATTTTCTCCACCAAGGCTAAAGGAGTGGCAAACACAGGACAACAGAACTGAATTCCAAAGTGACCTGAAGGAAGTAAAGCAGCAATTGCTGTAGGCAATGAGGGGAGATTTGGGACTATTAAATGTAAATCTCTAAATGCAGGCAGAAGAAATAAATAGCAAATCTACAAAACAGTTAAATTCCTCCACGGCCTAAATAGCCACAATTATCCCATTAAAGTGAACTTTTCATCTGACTACTGTTTTAATACTATTTGCTCCTGCAGAGAAATTGTGCATTTGGAATATTGGGAATGAAGGGAAGCTAGTATGCAAGAGGATCTGTAGTAGAAGTTTCACACATAATGGAAGTTTAAGGATCACTGCTCTGGACTTATTAGTTAGAGCAAAGTAAATCCATTAAAGACTTCTAGAAACATAAGAGGAGCACATAACTTAGATCTTCCAAGGGAGTGTGTTTTACATGCAGTTGGGTAATTTGGAGGAATATTATGCACTTATTCACTTTAAATTTATGAATTTGTTTGCCAAGATACCCTTGCATCACACAGTGACTGTACCTTTTACTACCTTGTTAAAGAAATATCAATACATTTGCTTACTAGTGGAACTGGGTATTGAATGAGTTTTAGATGTAGATTGGTGAGCAAATTTAGAAATATCCTTTTCCAAGTTCCTGGAAATAGAGCAAAAGATAACCATGATATTCTGGATCTGGTGGGAAGGTTTGGAAGCTGCAAACTATTGGATCCACATCAAGTCTGAGTAAACATTTACTGTCGAATCATGGAAATGTAGTTCTGGAAAGGCCCTCGGGAAATCAAGTCCAGCCCTCTGTTCTGAGGCAGGACCAAGTAAACCTAGACCATTCCTAACCGGTGTTTGTCTAATCTAGTCTTAGAAACCTCCAGTGAAGGGGATTCCACAACCTCCCTTGGAAGCCTGTTCCAGAGCTTACCTACCCTTATCATTAGAAAGTTTTTCCTAATCAATTTAAATCTCCCTTGCTGCAGATTAAGCCCGTTATTTCTTGTTGTACCTTAAGTGGAAATAGAAAACAATTGAGCCCTGTCTTCTTTATAACAGCCCTTCACATATTTGAAGGGTTATCATATCATCAGGTCTACCTCAGTCCTTCCCCCCGCCCCAGGTCTAAACATGCCCAGTTTTTTTTTAATCTTTCCACATAGGTCAGGTTTTCTAAAGCTTTTATCACTTTTGTTGCTGTCCTCTGGACATTCTCTAGTTTGTCCACTTCTTTCCTAAAGTGTGGCAACCAGAATTGGACACCGTACTCCAGCTGAGGCCTCACCAGCGCTGAATAGAGTGGGGCAATTACTTCCCTTGTCTTACATAGGACAGTCCAGTTAATGCACCCCAGAATATTAGTCTTTTTCACAACTGCATCCCATTGTTGACTCCTATTCAATTTGCGATCCACTGTAACCTCAGATCCACTGTAACCCCATCTAGACAGTTATTCCCCATTTTGTAGTTGTGCATTTGATTTTTCCTACCGAAGTGAAATACTCTGCACTTATCTTTATTAAATTTAATCTTGTTGAATTCAGACCAGTTCTCCAATTTATCAGTCATTTTGAATTCTAATTCTGTCCTCCAAAGTCCTTGAAATCCCTCCAACCTTGGTGTCCTCTGCAAAGATTATAAGCATACTCTCTACTCCAGTATCCAGGTCATTAATGAAATATTAAATAGTACCATATCGAGGACTGACCCATGTGGGACTAGATACACCCTACCAGTTTGACAGCGAACCATTGATAACTACTCTTTGAGTACAGTCTTTCAACCAGTTGTGCCACCCACCTTATAGTAATTTCATTTAGACTGCATTTTCCTAGTTTGCTTATGAGAACGTTATATGTGACTGTAGCAAAAGCCTTACTAAAATCAATCTATATCATGTCTACTGCTGGAACACAGCTAAGATATAGATCATGTGCTAAAGAGAGATGATTCAGTGTTTTTCTTACCCTTCTGACTTAGATCAAGTGTAATATCAGTTTAATATCTTGTTCCTGTTTGCTACAACACTGTTTTTCTCATGTCTCTTCTCAGCTCTTATTTCCTACTGGTTTCAGCTGAAATATATAGTACAATTAACTTGACCTTCTTCTGTAGTCCAAACCAGGTCGCTGAAAAGGTAGCCTCCAGGATTGCAGAGGGCTTTAGTGACCCAGCACTCATAATGGTATATAATTTCATTTATCTCTCTTCTGATTATAATCACAATATTGGAATGAGCGTTTAAATCCCATTTCTTGGCTCTGTTAATAGAGTAATGTGATGACTAACTTGCTGAGCCCTCAGAATGCCTTGGGGAGTCCCTTGCAGGGCATTCAAGCAACCCCTTTTGGCCAGCAGAGCAGTTACTGTGCTCTAAAGAGAGCCTACTTCTGGCTCTCCTTGGTCATGGAGAGAGTTGCTGCATTCTGTGTACGTGGTGGGAGAGTAAAGAAGGCATTCTTCCAAAACCTTTCATGACATAATGGCTTACCTTCTCAATGGGGCAAAAGCAATGGTGGGCTACAGTGGAATGTTGGTGGTTTAAAAGAAACCACTTTAGACCATTTAAAAATTGGCACTTCAGAAGCAGCAACAAGATGAAACACTGAATGGGTTAATGGAGGTGAATGGAAGATGCTATGATGTTCAAAACCACACTGTCATTTTTATATCATCTCTTTATTTGGGATCTTGAAGGAAAGAACATGATTTGTTTCTGTTGCATGTTAGGTGGATAACACTAAATTTACGATGGAGTGCACAGAACCTGCCATTCATGTGTATGAGCATCATGAAAACAAATGGAGATGCAAAGACCCACATTTGTAAGTAATATGTTCCTATCTAGGTTGTGATAAAGAGACGTTCCTTTGTGTAAATAGCTGTAAAGAGCAAAATTGTCTTATTACACTTGAACAACATAATATAGAATGACCTGGTAAGTAGAAAACAGGCAATAGTTGACCATGCTTTGAAAGCTTTCTGTTTTTCATAATGTTGAGAGAAACATCTAGCTTATAAAAAACAAAACTCTGTCAGTATTCTGCCTCCTAAGCTGTAGTCACACTGCATAGTGCTTAATTGAAAGAGCTGGTGGAGATCATTTTCCTTGAGAACTATTAATTCCTAGTTATTTTACATTCTAGTGATTATTGTGAAGACTGGTCTGAAGCCCAGAGGATCACCGTATCTCTCTTGGACAGCAAATCCTACGAAACCCTTGTGGATTTCGATAATCACCTAGATGACATCCGGAATGACTGGACAAACCCAGAGATCAACAAAGCTGTCCTACACCTATGTTAGGGAGGCTTCCACTGACTGATTTATGGGCATTTCCACTATGCTGAAGATACTTTAAAAAAATATTTTTGAATGTAAATAGAGTTATCTTCAGTACATTCTGGGGAACGCCAACAGCAGATTTAAAAAGAACGGCATGTCACTTGGAAAAGGTAACGTGCCCATAAGCAGTCAAATCTTTTTAATGAGAATCCTTAGAAGAAATACAAACTGTCAGTTATAGCCATCCTTGTGGATTCCTTCCCAGTTGTAGTGATTGTTGCTATAACCTTTAAAACCAGAACTACTTCTGCTTGTCCAAATTGTTCATATTAAAAAGTTTTGACTAACCTTTTATAATCTTTAGAGAGAGTAATTTTTAAAGATTTATGAAATATCTTTCAAAAATGAATCTTGTCCTTAGATGAGATGTTTTTAAACTCTTTAAGTCACAAATGTATAAACAAAATCCAGTGGTAACTGGTCTTTTGACCTGGTTCTTAACTGGCATTATTATTGATGCAGTAGAATAATGCTAACTGCTAAAGATTGTACTCTGTGCACATATTACATTTGTTCTGCAGCAGTTTAGCATATCATAGCTACAGAATAACATATACTGAAAGCAATATTCCAAATGCTGCAGAGATTCCCAACCTCGCTGGGACTACAACCACAGTTGTTACCTAAGAAATAGTTACAACCAAGGCCAAAACAAATCTTAACTTTATGGTTTGTGAAAAGGACTTAGAGCACAGTAACGGTTTTGAATCCGCTACAAGGTTCTGTAGGAGTTGAGAAAACAAGAGAAGAGTAAAATGCCATCTTGATTATATGCAATCTTTCTATCTGGATTTTAAACAGATACTCTTAATTCTGAGCTGATTCACACATCCATTCAAATAGGACTGAAATGTACCTATCTGTAAATTAAAGGCAACTGATCTGTCTTTAGCATATGGATCAAAGGAACCTTGAAACACTCTAGTTCATCTTAAATCTATATGTTTATCTAATTAATATCTGTTTCTAACAAAAGTTTACCAGTTGATGGGGAAGCTTTATAGCAGAATTTCTTTTGTCATTTTTATATGTATTATTTTGTACCAGGTACACCAAAGGCATTGTACCTTACCTTCTGTCTCTTTCTTTTAGCTATGTTACTATAGAACTTGTAACAACTTAACCTGGTGAACCTAATGAACTTGAAAGGATAAATTTTATATCATTCAACACTTTTTAACAGTAACAACAAATGGAAGGAAAATGCTTTAGCTAACCAACTGCTATTGTAGCTTGTCCCCCACCACCTGAAAATAAACTTGATGACATGGGGAATGTCAATCAGATACTTTGTGGCATCCTTGGTGGGGTTGGGTGAGGAGAGAAGCGGGTAGGGAGGAAAGGAGCGCAAGATAAGTAGACTCAATTACTGACTGCATAGTGCAGTTAATGCACTAACTTGTCTTTGACCTTGAAAGACCTGAGTTCAGTTCTTAATTAGATCAGAAATTAAGAGAATTTGGTCTCTTGCTCATAAGAAGTATTTGGTACACACACATGTTGCAACATAGTTCGCTCAAAGTCTTTTCCTAAGTTCCCTACCAAAACAAACCCTTCACAATGAAGATCCAGATGCAGTATTTATCTCCTAATTTTTTGCTTTTTTCTTCAAACTTTTGAAACTTGTGCAAAAAGTAAGGGATGAGATTTTCAAAACCATTCTTGAGTTGACCTCGGTGTGCTCCTATTAAAGTCGGTGGGAGTTTTACCATTGATATCAACGGGAACAGAATTAAGGCCAAAATCCCACTCTAAAGTAATAGTTGTTATGAATGAGGATTACAGAAATTAGTGCTCCCTTTGTTTCACAGTGATGATAAACTAGTTTGGAGAAGGATGAAGCAGACATCATTTGGGGAAGTAAAATGCTGAATAGTCATGGCTGAACAAGTGTAACTGAAATCTAGTTGACAACCAGCGAAACATGCTGCTATTCCACAGATTTAAATATACTAGCTAGTGGAGTGTGCCCGGTAGTACATGTACAGAAAAAAACATTACCAATCATGCACATTGTATAAACAGAGCTTTTCAAGGTGTTTGCAGAATATAAGGCAAAGCCTATGATATGCTATTCTTTCCAGGGACAGATGTTGTTTGCTCCTTTTTGACCTGAGTGGCTAGTCAAAGTTTATGGCCCTGTGGGTGATCCAGTTGGGAGCAGAATTTGGTGATAGTCGGGTATTTCTTCAATGCCGTTTTGTTTATTTACAAAGACTGTACAAAGTGCTGTGTCTCTGAATGCAGAAGGGATCAAATAACAGGAAACAGCTTCTTTTGTTCACCAAGAGCAGCCTTTTCACCCTGCACCCCGACCCAAAAAAAAGTCTCCAGGTTTTTTCCAGGGTCCAGCCACATGCTTTCAGCTGCTTCTTCAGTCTGTCTCAGTCTATTCTCAGTTTGTGTGTGTTATCTCCTGCCAACGCACACATAGTCACAATACCCAGTCGAACCATCTGCCCACTTGGTGCTAGTTTCTGAGCAGACTATTAGGCTCTGCTTCAAGGGTGGCCCCTTAACTGTCTCTTACAATTGACTTAAACAGGGGACTCATTCAGAGATCAGTTTAGAGGTATAAACTGAACCCATAACAAAGTGTCACTTAACTGATAACATTATCCTAACAAGCCACTGGGAATTGAACTGGTTACACGAAGAGTCATTAAACAGCACTGAAATACAAGCTGGTATTTCTTTGAAGCTACAGGAAATGCATTTCTCATTCTTCCTAACTAGATGTCATGTAATCAAGTATTTGGCCACATATGCATTCACACACTGTAATTTGTTCTGTCAGATACTCAGCTCTTATCCAGTTAAGGCTTCCCAAAATGCTAAATGTTTTGTAAAGATCAATTTTTTGTAGTTGTCAAATAAAATTAACTCCAAGCAAAATACGTATCATTGGGGGCTCTAATCTGATAGAAAAGATAAATGCTCTTGCTAAGCAGCGTATTGTTAAACATTGAGACTTTGCTGGAAGGGACAGGAGAGAAGCACCATATGATATCCTCCCCTCCCACCTCTCCCTCTTTTGTTTGCTTGTAGGTTTCTAGTGAGGTCCATTGGACATTTGCCCATCAATAAAGCCAGAGGCTGGTTTTAAACAAACAAAGGGCAGGTGCAGCAAGGCACCAATGAGACTTGCCCCGTCACCTGGACAATTTCCATCCTACCCCTCTCATTTGCATTGAAAGCTGGACAAAAAGTTATAAAGGTGAACCTTGGACTTGCTTTGATTCATGTTGGTTGCATGTGAAAGGAAGAGAGGAAGCAGGTAATCTCTGTGAGGACGGATCTCTGCCTACATGTTGATCTTGCTGCAAATCTAGGTCACTGATCTGTATGAGCAGCTGTATATTTCTTGGCTTGGGCAGCAATTGCATTAAAGGAATGCAAGGTAACTTCTTTTTTTTAACTTTCAGGGAAGAAAAAGCCGGTGGGAGGGGGAAAGTCTGCATTCCAATGAGAACCCTGATGATTTTTTTTACCTCTACTTCAGTGTCATAGCCACCATGCTTCTGGCTGGGAAGACTACTTCCAGAGCATATCCCTCTTTCCTTTATTCCGCCCCAATTGTCTGCCAGTGAATGCCATGCGGAGGTCTCTTTCCTCCTCCTCCCATTGACAAATGTCTTACGTTTCTGCTCCTACCACTCTTTTGGACTTGCCAGCCCAAGTTCCTATGATCAGAAATCAAACGCTAGCCCTGCCGCAGTGTCTGTCTGCCTTAGGGTTCTCCATAATACCCATTACCATTGTATGAGCACTTGGAAATGCAGAAAAGCCCTCCTGGTTGTCTTGGTATTACAAAGCTATTTTCCCTCTATATTAATGTTTGAAAGTTTTGTGATGAACAGTTCTAACAAATAACGAATGTATAGAAAACTGGCACAAAAGGAGGGAAAAACCCAGCTCAATCTGCTATTTAAAGTGCTACTTTTTAATAAATATAGGCAATCAGCACCAGAAATGATGCTATTCTGAATGATTTTGAATGTAAAGTGGCTGGGTTTTTTTAATGTGCTATTTACTGCTTTGCAGACTCTGGGTTAGTGGCAAGAGCAATAATGGGCACTAATTCGGAAGTCTTTCAGGGTGAAGATGGGAGCTTGGCTCGCTGCAGCATATGGTTTTGAAGGAAATCCCGCTTTCTTCCCAAGCAGCTGTCCGAGTTGACTTAAGACCAAGGAGGCTAGGTGACCTGCTAAAGAGCATGCAGCGTGCAGCTCCCATATCTCTGCCCCCTGGTTCTTCTAACCACTGGGCACCATGGCCAAGATTTTCAAAAGTGACTCATTTTGAATTGTAGGTGTCTAGCTTGAGACACTTCAAAGGGACCTCTTTCAAAAAGGCTTGAGCCTTTGCCCTCTGGAAATCAGACCTCTTGAAAGGTATTCCCAGTTAGACACCAAAAAATGGAGGCACCTAGAATCACTGGACACTTTTGAAAGTCTTGGCTGGCATGGCAGTGCCAGATTAAGTAGTTCTGTGTGGGCAGGGGTCTCCCTCTGTAGGATCAAAAGGTGCTGGTAATCAGTAGTACACATGACTGCAAGTACTGTGGCACATTGGGATGGCTGTGCTCAGTGATGGTTAAAGGAATGTCAAATATCTGGTAACTAGGGGATGGTGGTTGGCCTGCAGGGGATGTTTTATCCTATATAATGTAGTTTGCTGTGCTGTAAATAAAGTTGAAGCTTTTTTCCTTTCCCGCTACCATGCAATTGAAGTGGGAGGCTGAGCACTTTGTCAGTTTTCTGTTAGCCTAAGCAAATTGGCACATTTTGACCCACGTCTCTTCTTCATAATTCCAGACACGAAGGCTGCCTTGTGCCAGCTTTAATCAGGGTACTCTTTGTAACAGCAAATGTTTATATAAGGAGACGCATGATGCAGAGTGGTTAAAACACAGCACTTGGCTTTCAGATATCATGGGGCCCATCAGCATGATAAGAACCTAAATAAATAGAGCGGGATGCCAGAGACTGGGTTCTGTTCCCAGATCTGCCACAAACTTGCTGTGAGATCTTGTGCAGATCACTGGGGCTTGGATCCTCAAAGGTATTTAGGCACCTAACTGCCATTGATTTCAGTGGGAGATAGGCACCTAAATGCTTTTGAGGATCTGGGCCTTGGAGCCTATTTTCAAAGGTATTGCTCCCCTGCAGCTGCCAGGGGGTTCAGTGGATTTGTGGTTGCTCAGCTCTTCTGAAAACCAGGCTGCCAAATTCCTTCTGTTTTCCCATCTAGACAAAGGCTTGGTCCACACTGGGGCGGGGGATTGATGTA